CTTCGTTTTATGTATTTGCGCCACTTCTTGCGGACGGCAATTCCAGAATTTCCCTTCGTCCATCATGTATGTTCGGTCATTGGTCACGCTAAATCAAGAATGAGACAGAATTTGGGTGTGGACAGGAAAAAAAAAGTGAAGATAGGGAAGAGAAAATAAAAATAAAAACAAAGAACACGAGATCCCCCCAAGGCCTGAAATAAGATCGGAAAATTTCGAGGTCATGATGGCTGATCTGAGTCCACCGGTTCGTTAAATTTCTGTCGTGCCTCTTCTACCCACAACTCCAACCGAAGCTCGCCGGCTTCGACACGTCGCACTGGTACTGTTTTGGCACGGCCATTCGAGACCTTGGGGGGCGCTTGCTGGGGCTCGCCATTCCGCACTTTAGAGACGGAAAATGGTGCAGTGCACGATCGTAGGTGCACCTTGCCTGGTTCTGCCACAATCCAGGTTTGTTCTTCCTTGGTGGTCCCTGCCGGTGGTAAAGCATCTTCCCGCACCTCAATGCATACGGTGAAACTGAACTCATCATCACGGGGAAGTGGGGTCAGCCGGGCACAGGCTGAGGCGAGTCTCGCTAGGCATGCCCGGAATTGTGCCTCGAGGTCGACCGAGGTTGGCGCGGGGCCCCGGTCTGAGACAGGGGCACCTGAATTAGATGAATCTTCATTTCTATCTTCAAATGTAGTATTCACCTCTCCCGCAGGGGCACGCGGGAAGCCCGACAGATCAAAGGCATATCGTTCGAGGGGCTGATTTGTGCGAAGAGATGAAATGATGATACTGACTGCGGTGATTGTGCCTTTGAGAATCTCCGTTCCGACTGCGATTGAAGCATCGTTGATGTAGTCACAGACTTTTGGGTGACGGGATTGCCGGACGGGATAGTTGTATGCCCGCACGGGAAGGAAGGTTGCGCGCGGATAGACGGAGCGCAGGAACAGGATTTGATGGACGGAGACGGTGAGGAAATTGGTGAAGGAGGCGGCTAACGCTGACTGGTTTGTGGGCAGCGATTTGGTAGCAGGGACAGGGGCGGAGAAAGTGGTCATGGTGGTGGTGGTACTACTGCTCTCACTGGCAATCGGCATTGCCGTCGAACAATCTGGTATCGTTTCCGCGGTAAGGGTGGTCTTGACGAAGTCTCGAAGAATCTGAATGATGTTCCACCCTGAAGCTAATCATCGCTCTGCCTTTCTAAGTCATCGGTCAATGTTGGGTTCGGATAAAGTATTTAGTGTTGTTATGTTTTGCAATCGGTCAAAGTTTTTTGGGGACTCCCGATACTCCGGCCAGCGACACGGAGGGTCACGTTGATCCGCAGGATAGGATGGCTGATGAGATCAGGGTGAGTAGAGTGACAGAAAATAGTCACTCGACGCGGCATGAAAGGGAGGACTATGAGGGGAAAGAAAGATGGTTGGGGTATAGTGCGTTGGAGGGGTTGTTTGTGTAAAGGAAATCCGAAACGTACGCTTGGGTGGAAAACCTCAAAGCATGAGGGATAGAAAAACCATATAATTCCCGAGTGACGATCCCGAGTGTAAGAGAGTGGTCACTTTTTTTAGATTTAAGAACCCTTGGGGGGAATTCGAGGAGGGGTTTTAAAAGCGAAGGGAAGGAGGGGAAGTTTTGAGAGATGGTAACCCTCGAGGAATGTTTTTAGGAAGAAAAAAAAGAGGGCTGAGCCCAAGTTGGCAAATAAATCAGGAAAGGAAGAGGTTATAGAGATGAATCAATGGGTACCTCTCTTCATCGAGGGGAAAAGCAGAAGAAAGGCGGACAACACGGCCTGAGGTAAGTTGGTAGGGTCACGGTTCCTGTCACGTGGTTGCGTCATGGGTTTGCAGAATCCCATTTCTTGAGGTTTACTTCAATTTTATGCTATTTAGGAATTGTAGATAGCTTGATCTTATTTGTTTTCATGTACAATTCTATCTCAATGCTTTGATATTATGATATTTACTTGGATTTTCTTGGATTTTCTTGGATAGTTAAAATATTGTGTGTGCAGCTTCAGCATGACCTACAGAGATGCTAAAAGTGAAAAAAAAAAGCAGAAAAGGAAAGTAAAAATACAGTATACAATATACCAGTATTTATGCCATATTAGAAAAGAAGGGCACACAGCTTTTTGCTCTTTTTCTTCCCCACTGTGATGGATACTTCTACAAGAGGGGCGATCATCGGCGAAAAAAAGGGCAAGGGATGTGTACCATGTATGTAAATATAAGAACCCATGGAACTATAGCGAACGGAACGGGCTATAGCCGAGCAGAACCTATATCCCTGTACCTGACCTAAGGTTGTGAATTCTGGGAATTTATATAAACACACATAATACTGTGGAGGTACCTATAAGTTACAATATAAGAGAGTAGATTGGAACGTGCTCACCTCTTTACACTTATATAAGAACCTGTATCAGCGAGGTACCGGGTACACTGTACTGAATCATACACATATCCACTCTCTCCAGTAAAGAGTGCGCACTATCTGGCTTACCCGATGATCTTCTTCCACTGACGGCAGTGGCGGTCATAAGACTAGGGTACGTTTTCCCGAGTCATTTGTGTTGCTTAGAACATGCAGCCCTGTGTATCGTACTAGATTATAAATTCCTTCCATTTGTTTCTATGTCTACGGACTCCATACTTCGTACATCTTTACTTTTTTTTTATGGAGCTTTAGGAGGGGTATGTGTGCATAAGTACGGTATACTGCCAGCGCTACACTATATGGTACTTTGCGTATACCCACCCTTTTAAGGTCACTTTATTTTTACCTATCCTTTCTGAATTCTAGTCTAATAATATTGTTTGCCGGCCCGTGTGACCATGTAATTATAAATGATAGTTTCCCCAAAATGACACCGAGTCAATTCAGTGGAACTCCCGTGCTCTCCGATGGACCCTGACCCAATAAGATTGATCAAAAAGATCAGACCTGGATCTTAACGAAAGCTCGAGCCAGTTAGTCCGGACCATCTGGCGGATGGTGTAGGTCCTGAAATGGTAAATGGTAAATGGTAAATGGTAAATGGTAAACCGCTCCGTATTTGGATCCTCAATGGACCATGTCCATTGGATGCCTAATTGACCACCCGCGGATGTCTGATCTCTGGAGGTTCCTGGATTAGACTATTCTAGGTGATCGTGTGACCTATCTAGAGATGTCATTGGTGAAAATATTGAGCTTCTAGTCTAAATTAAGCATTAAAGTGTGAATACCCGAAGTTCTCTCACTGTCTGATGCGCCCTAAAATACAAGGTTTAAACCTCTACCAGCAAGAAAGTAAGGACTAAAAGATCTAAGATATGGCTATGGCTATGGAGATATTTGTGAGTAAATCTAAGTTTTCCCACACCGTCCACAATTTTGTTTGGCGCTGATCCTTAACATATTTTTCTGCTTGGCTGCTAGTGCAGATAGGGGTGGTCTCCTGGCTCTAGGACAAATTGACGATGCCTGATTTTGGAGGTTCAATATTTGCGTTAAATTAGTTGGCGTATGCGGCCTCTGTCCTTAACGTAAAATGTCATAAACTGGTGTGCAACGGATAAAGATCCTCATAACTGGAGACAGAGTCACCTGACTGCATCGGTCGGGTATCGGGAACGAATCGCCAAGGAATCGTCACATGGCTCCCACATGAGCATGGCGGCACACATAGTCCAGGATTCCCTTGAATCCCCTTTTCCTTTAGCAAGAATTAGTCTTAGCAGACACAGATAATACATTCCGTTCCTCTCTAAGTCATTATATCTTACCCGGTTAACAGGCCTTACACCTGAAAACTGTATACTCTTACATGTTCACTGAGGAGATTGATACAGGCGCCCCCTAAATTCCCTTCGAACGCCCCCTTTTGGCTAAATTTGCATGATACATCGTAGTTTTCGGGAAAACCACCTGGGCAGGAATAATTAGGCTTAGTCAGGGGGTCCATCTCCGAGGGTAAATGGAGAGATGATAAATATAGCCTATTTTATGTGTGTTTTATAACTACGAAAACTCATGTCATGACGAAATTGGCTGCGCCTATTAACCCCCATGCTAAGGGATATTGGGGGGATTGATATAATCACAACAAAACAACAAAACAAAACAAACTCCACACGGTAAAAAAAGCATAACTTGAAGGTTTCCTACACCCTCCTGCCGAGGCTTTACGTGCTCTCAAGGCCGGTCAACCTATATTCAATTACAATGTTAGCACCCTTAAACCAATTAAGTGCTTGGAATGAGAGTGACGCGAGAATGGAGACAGAGTGCAGGAATTAAAAATGTGATTAATTGTTATATAGGTTTAAATTAAGGTACCAAATATCAGAAATAGATGGCTCATCTAGATTTTACTTGATGATCAGTGTGTGGTTCTGCTTGGATCTACTTACCGCGTGTTCCTGGTGTCCGTGGGGTTCGTGGGGCGTTGCTGGTGAGGGAAGGAAACGTCGGCTACATGACATGTCAGAACAGGTTTCCAAGGATCCTGTTGATTGAGTCTTTACCGTCGCCACTTGTGCGTAGCGGCCGAGAAGACAAACTTGACAAAGTACTTCAGGACCAAAAGGACAAACAGCACCCAGATGATGCGGCCACAGGCATTGTCGACTGTGGTATCATCCTTGTCAGCGCTTAGACGCAGGAGCTCGCCAACCCAAGATTCGTCCTATCCCCGAGGAGCAATTGGCAGCGCCGCTACACTACATGTTAGAAAAAGTGGATCCAAACAGTATCTCCGAAAGAAAGGCTTTTCATATTATGCTCGAGAGGGAGGATTAGGGCATTTTGGAAAGAACAGGTAAGATAAATCATGGAATAATGTCCGAGAGGATGGCTCAGAGGATGGCTGAGAGGATGGCTGAGAGGATGGCTGAGAGGATGGCTGAGAGGATGGCTGAGAGGATGGCTGAGAGGATGGGCGAGAGGATTCCTGGGTTGATGTTTCGGGGAATGCCTGGCAGGATGGCTCATAGTGTGCACCAGAAGCTCCCCTAACCGATGCGCGAGATGCTTCCCGAAAGGATGACCGGCATGACAGGATACCCATTGTCCGAGATGATTCCTAAGAGGAAGGCCGAAGGGATTTGTGGGGAGGATGCTAGGTAGGATGCTAGGGAGGACGCTTGGGAGGACGGGAGGATACCAAAATAAGCTGTCAAACTTACAGATCACGGACGCCAGGAACGCCAAGTAGAAAAGGATACTGGTAAGATGCATCTTGATGATGGACTTGGTGATAAGCTTGGTAATGGATTTGCTAATGATTTTTTCGAACGTGAAGTTCCTACATGCGCGACGGGATTACTTTGTAAACTGGGAATTTAGCCCGGAAAGGAAGGTACCAACCCGTGCAATGACATCAGCGAGATAAATATATATTGATAAATCAGAGGCAGTCAGCTAATACGATTGTAGTACCTACCTACCTTTGTTCCAACGCGCCGAAACTATGTCCCTTTCTTTAAATCTGCCCAGAGCCTGGCGGCGCCTGGATCATATCAAAAGGGTTTGTAGCACTACCGTTGACAAGCCCCCAAATTGAGACTCGGATGAACCAGCACGAACGGCAAGTGTCCATCTCACAGCTAAATTCTTTTCGCAACAATCTCTGGTCCTCTTCAGGAATGACCAAGCCGCCTCTCGCTCTTTGGCAACATCCACATCGAAGGGTACAATGTCCAACTCCGAGCTTGCGGGTTTGGTCAATGCTACGATTAAGACAGCAGCCACAACTCCGAGCACAGCAACCTTCCCGACCAGCGCAATCCTCAACAAGCACTTTGTGCATATACCATCTGGGATGGGACCTCCATAGATCAAATGCCCTGGATAGAAACCCTTTCTGCAGAGAAGTCTGGTAATACAACCATCTTTGGTTAAGGAAGTGGTATCTGACGTTCAACACAATGGATATCTCTTCTTGAACCACTTCGCGAAGTTCTTGTTCCACATCGAGAAGTTTAGGCGAGTCATCAACACGGTAATGGGAGAAGTGGAAGAAGTGATTATAATGGTATCGCTGGAGCATAAACCTTCCCGGACTTTGCTTTTCGGGCTTCAGAGGTGCTCATCTCCTTGATCAAGTCTGGTTGTAATCGTGGTCGATTATCGTTCCCCTTTAGGCTGGCAAAAGAAAACGGCATTTTTGTCGTTTGAATGTGTTGATAAATACTTTAGGATTGTGAATTGCTTTCCTAGCATCTGCCATTCATCAGCTCGTAATGATGTAAACTTAGGCCTCCGCTACCCGAACCGTCAGGTAGTGTGAGATCAAGGTTATGATTCGTTTTCCATCTTCTATGGCTCCGACTCCAGAAAGAGACCCAGAAAACTTAAAGATAAACCAATGAGATTTATAGTTAGACAGACGATTGGTATGACTAATTCCCGGACCCTAACTAGTTAACTAGTTACATTTGTAACTACTATCAAACAGGATGTACATATCTAGGGTCGTATAAAGAGCGATATCCGTAGATGATCGAACAGTATACTTGTTGTTAATTGGTGGCCCAGTTGACAGGAGATTCAATTATACAAGTAACACAAATGCAAATAGAGAAGAATCTTGGAATCATATGAAAATCGGCGTGATATGCGATTGTAGGGCTGACCGCCTTCGAACTGCCCCTCCTCCGCGTCTTCTTATCTGCCAGCGCGCAAAGCATTGGATTCTCAATATCTCGTGACTGAGACCCATTGGCTTTGTGCCCTTCCTCTATCTCTATTTCATCTCTTGTTGGACTACACCCCAAACCCCAACCAGCCTCACTGATTACACTTCGTTCGCCATGGAGCAAGAACTCCTGTCGCTCCTGGCAGATACCCAGTCGCCGAAGGCCGATACCAGAAGAGCTGCAGAGTCCCAGTTGGGAAATCTTTACGCCCACGATTCCTTCGCAATCTCACTCACAGCAATTGCCTCACACGAGTCCGTTCCGGTAAACCTGCGCCAGTCTGCCCTCTCAGTCCTGCGTACCTTCATTGCCGCCGCCTGGTCCCCAATTCTCGACGAATTTAAAGGACAAATCCTCATCAACGATGCGAACAAAGCCAATGTTCGCCAGGCTTTATTGGTCCTCGCGACAAACGATACCCCCCAGCGCAAGGTGAAGAACTCTGCCAGTTACGCTGTCAGCAAGATAGCCAGTGCCGACTTCCCGGACGACTGGCCCGAGTTGCTCCCTTCACTGCTCCGTATCATTAATGACTCCGCCAGTACCGATGGCCAGATGCACGGTGCGCTGAAGGTGCTCTTGGATCTTGTAGATACAGGGTTCAGTGAGGAGCAGTTTTTCAATGTCGCCCGCGATCTCGTTTCTTCCCTTTTCGCCGTAGCTACCGCCGAGTCCAGACGACCAATGCTGCGCGCTCTGGCTGTTGCAGTCTTCCGTTCCTGCTTCGATACCCTGGAAATGGTTCTGGAACAACACAAGATGGCCATTAAGCAGTTCATGGATGAGGTGCTCAGTGGATGGTCGCCGTTTTTCGAGACAGCTTTAAAGGCACCCCTACCACAGCCACCCAGCGAGGAAGAGGAGCATAAACAAGGAGAGATTGCATCGCAATGGAGGGGAATTGTTGGGTTGAAGTTGCAAGTCGTCAAGGTATGCGGTGTTTTGTCTTACTCGCTCCTCCAAAATTCCGTTTTTGGTTTTGTCGGGCTTTCGCTGACATGATCTTTTTTTAGACTCTGATGAAAATCCGCATGGTGTTCCCTGCTCTTTTGACCGCGCAAAGCCCGCTTTTCTTCTCAACAGTCTGGACGGAACTCACCAACGCGTTGCCGATCTACCAAAATTTCTACATCGAGGAGGAGAGGCAGAGTCGTTTAGAGGATGGGGACGGACTTCCCCACTCACTCGATTTCCTCGTTTTGGAGGAGCTTGACATTATCCAGGCCCTCTTGAAGGCACCCCCGGTAAAGGCAGAACTACAGCAGCAACTCCAAAATGCTGGTGCGACTGCTAGCACGTCCAGCTGGCTTCCGGAAATTATGAAGCTTGCCAGCTCCTATGCACAGATTACAACAGAGGAGGAGGCTCTATGGGAGATTGATGTGAACCTTTTCCTCTCGGAAGAGACTTCTGTCACGGCCAACTACACTCCTCGAACTTGCAGCGGAGACCTAGCGATCAAGGCTGGTGAATGGCTGAAGGGTACAGCTGCCGAGGGTCTTTTGGGCTATATGAACACTATCTTTGCTGATTCGTCTGTTTCGTGAGTATTACTCTATATTTCGTTTGTGAAATTATATTAACCATGACGCAAATAGATGGAAATCACGGGAAGCTTCCATGTACATTCTCAACTGTTTGCTTCGAGACTTTGGTGAAGTGGACCAAGAGATCTCACCTGAGCTGGCGTCCCATTTCACCCAATTCGTACAATATGCGACCCAGCAAGAACAGGAGCTCTTGCGCGCTCGAGGCTACCTTGTGGCTGGCGCTTTGTCCAAGGTTGCCGGTGAGGCATTCCAACAGACCACATCATCCTATCTGGAGGCAACACTGAAGGCGATCGCCGAAGACCCTGCCGAGGTGGTCCAAGTGGCTTGCATTCGGGTGCTACAAGATCTGATGCCCGCTTTGCCGACGAGCTTGGCCCGCCCCTTCCAGCCCGCAGTGATTGCGGCCATTTCAGAGTTCATCTCTGCACACGACCTTCGTGAACAGACTGAGTCTGACGATCTCAAGGTCACGTTGGCGGAAACACTCCGGGACACTATTATGGCCGATTCTAGTGTGGTTCTGTCGTCTACTGCAATTGATGTGCTGTTCAGCATTGCTAGCAGTGGAGCTGAAAACTTCCAATTGACCTTGACTGTCACAGAAGCATTTGAAGATATTGTGGACCAAATTACCGACAATGGCCCCGATTCTTACATGTGTCTTTGCGAGAAGGTGCTTCCCTCGTTGATGGGTGCGATTGATGTGGGCAACCTGACCGAAGAGAATGCTTTGACAACCTTTGCAGCCGATCTTCTTCGCGCTCTGGCCGAGCGGAGTCCCGAGCCGATGCCTGCTGGTTTTGTGGAGACAGTGATGCCCAAGTTGAACCGCCTGCTGCTGGACTCCGATGAGGCCGAATTGATCAGACCTGCCACAGAGGCCGTACGACACATGCTCTCGCACGACTTTGCGCAGTTCATTGTCTGGCGTGATCCTCAATCTGGAAAGGAAGCACTCGAAGTTGTGTTGGTCATCATTGACCGCCTGCTGGGCCCGGCCATGGATGACAACGCAGCCACAGAGGTCGGCCAGCTAGCAGCAGAGTTGGTCGAACGGGCCGGCTCTGAGCGCCTCGGTCCTTACCTGCCGCAGCTCTTGCAAGCCGTGGCGCAACGACTGGCGACAGCACAGCAAGCGCAGTTCATCCAAAGTCTCATCCTCGTCTTCGCCCGACTCACTCTCATCAGTGCACGCGAGGTAGTCGACTTCCTGGCCCAGGTTAACCTGGGCGGCCAGAGCGGACTCACCGTGGTCTTGAGCAAGTGGCTTGAGAACTCCGTCAACTTTGCCGGCTACGACGAGATCAAACAGAACATTTTCGCCCTAGCCCGGCTTTACGAGCTCGCTGACCCACGTGTGGCCGAAGTGCCCGTCAAAGGCGACCTCATCATTCAGGATACCGGCCGAATCAAGACCCGCTCACAGGCGCGCAAGAACCCAGACCAATTCACGACCGTGCCCGCACCACTGAAGATCTTCAAGGTTCTGGTCGAAGAGCTAGGCGCAGCCTCCGGCAACAAGGAAATCGACGCCGCCACTGCGGCCGCCCTGGATGAGGCTGACAGCGACGACGGCGACGACGATTGGGAGGATATCCCCAGCCAGGTCCTGGATCTCGGTATCGGAGCCACGAAACAGGGGCTAATGAGCTTCGGCGAGGGCGGTTCCGAGAGTGTCTTTGGTGTGCGTCGCCGAGACGATGAAACGCAGAGCTTCCTGGCGGATTTCTTCCGACAGGCCTCCACGCAGCCTGGTTTCCAAGAATTGTACGCGGCGCTGACTCCGGATGAGCAAGCTAAGCTGCAGAGCCTATAAGTGGAGCTGGGTGAAATCTTACTCGAAGCTGTGGTTGCGAGTATCCAGGTCCCCGGGCCTGGGTTATTAATGGATTGATGCATGAATGCCAATAAAACATCCAAGGACTTGTAAATGTCGCTTGTACGGAGTAAACATACCTCTTTTTCCTTTTCTTTCCTTTTTTTTCTT